AAAAAAAAAAAAAAAAAAAAAAAAATCCGCACTCATGCAACAAGCTCCATATGCCTTCAAGCCACCCCCGCGACACACACACGGGCGATTTGGGTCTGGGTCGTTTCGGCTTTTGTTTTTTTTCCTCTTCTACTGCATCTTCCCAGCAATACAGTTTAGGAGCATTCTGCTGTTTTTTTTTTTTTTTTTTATACATGCCATTCTCTCTCTCTCTCTCTCTCTCCGGACGGCACAACTAACGAAACGAAACGACCACCAAACTCACGAGGCCTCGCGAAGCCCTGATCCACCGTTTTTTCACCTCACCACCCCACAACACACATGAAAACTCTCGCGAGAATGCCCTGGCGAGAGTCGTGCGGGATTCGTTTCGCTACGGTCCAAATTTTTGGACGCTACGGTCCAAACTTTTGGACGCCACGGTCCAATCTTTTGGACGGACCTCGGTTGGAGCAATGCGGCACACTCATGAGATTTCGCAGCTCCTCCAGCCGACCAGCGGAGGACGTACGAGTTCACAAGCGCTGCAAGCAGGGAGGACTAGCGTAAGCTGTTAACCTCGCGAACTTGGAGTCTGACAGCATTCACGACTTGACAGCATTCACGACTTGTCTTCTGATAGAGGTCGTGTGGGTGCTGTACGGCGACTCATTCGCAAAACGAAGTCGTTTTTTTTTCATTTCGTGCACCGTGCGGCAAGGCCCTCTCTCTCGTTGGTCATTTGCCACACTCAGACCCTAGCACGAGTCTCTCTCTCTCTCTCTCTCTCTCTCTCTCTCTTTCTCTCTCTCTCTCTCTCTCTCTTTCTCTCTCTCTCTCTCTCTCTCTCTCTTTCTCTCTCTCTCTCGCTCGCTCGCTCGCTCGCTCTCTCTCTCAGCATTCCGCTGTTTACTACGCCCAAGGGGCTCGTTAGACACTCCTCGAGCATGTAAAATGCCCGAGGATAGGTGGAATGCCCGAGGATGTGATCGTTCCACCTATCCTCGGGAGAGATTTTTCCAAAAAAATGTGAAAACATTTCCTCGAGGAATCCTTGTAGCATCCTTGTGGCCCAGCCATTTGTCGCTCTAGTGCAAGGGACCTCACGAGGTCCCTCGAGGTTCGAGGATCCGTGATAATCGGAGCGGCGAAGGCCCGGGCACGGGTCGGCAGCAGCTTCCTTTTTCGGCTGGTCCATTTGGTGTTCCGCCAACGGGTGCACAGACATCTTCGGCCGCCGTCGTCGGTCCTGCGCCCAATGGGTCGCCAACAGCTAACGTTGGACGACTACCTGCGAGGGGCCCATGTAGCACTTGCGGCTGATGTCGCCATGCTCCCATGGGGTTTCCCACCAGCGTCGACGGGGTTCAACGGTCGGCAAAATTGAATATTTTGACCGACCTAACTCCAGCAGCCCAACACATGTCGGCGACGGATAACGTTACGGTGTGTTTGTCATATGCTGCCCTCTTCCGTTTGCTTCCTTCACTGTCGCCCTTTGGTTGACCTCCACCGTCGTCGTCAAGTTGCGGCCCTGTCCTGCATGTTGTTGATGGCCGACCTCTATCGCAGGCTTCCTGTTTTGCTCCTGGTCTTTATTTTGCTTGTCGGCGTCGTCCTGTTCCACGTGTGCATCAGCCCTAAGGTGCCTGGCCGTACACGCAAGAGGCGTTCAGCGAAGAAGGGTGTCGACATGGACGACCGACAGCCGAAAAGCAGGGCGTTGTTCGACTCCCCCACCGCTCACCACGCGCAACACAGCGGTGCTCGAAAGTCACAGCAGTACGATCCGTCTGCGTACGCGCACTTATCGCCGCACGAAATTCCGCTGCCGCCGATGGACGACGAGGCGGAGGAGGTAGGATCTCGCACCGTGGCGCTCGGGAGCGGATCGACACAGGATTGGGCGGGGAGCCAGTTCTTTGGAAGTCGGCAAACGACGTCCCGACAGTCGTACACACAACTGCTCGAAGAAGGTATACGCGAGGAAGACGCACATGCCGACGTCAATCTGTGGTTCGGAGTGTGTAGCAGGAGCTCAGCAGCGACGACACGTACGCGCATCATCAATCCCTACCCTGACGGCGATTGGGGTGATGCGGCGCTCGTCTGTCGGTCGGGCGGGGGGGCGTCCGTTGGATCGCCGGCAACAGAGAAGACGAGGGACCAACACTGTCTGCAGTCGACGTCGGCGCCGACATATGTGACGCCCAAACCTCACGCCCGGCGCGACTTCCTGATCGGAATTGCAAAGACTTAGGAAGGAGATTAGGAGAGGGAGTGCCTACGTTCTGCATGGCCAGACCGCGGCGTGGGGGACGTAGCCTCTCTCCACTCATCGATCCGAACATGCAGCCCGCGGGCTAACCAGACTCAGCAAGAAGGAAAAGAGAGTGCGGGAAAGACGAAGCTCAAGGAGGAAGATACAGTTACAATGGCGCCCGCCCAAGGATTACAGTTACACGCAAGATTAAGGGCGCCTATTAATCAGAGCTCCGCTGCAGCCGTAAAAAGATGCACGCAAGTACAAGCAACGCGCGGCAAAAGAAATCCCAAATTCCTAAATTCCTAGCTAATGCAAAAAGAAGCACAAATTCCAAAAAGAAAATCCGAGGTTCCAAGAGCCGCTGGGGCTCGACAAGATTCAAAAAGAAAAAGAAAATTCAAAAAGAACGAAGCAAAATTCCCACGCGACCTCCGCGCCTAAAATCCGACAACAAAGCAAAAAGAAGCGACGTCAACCATTATAGTTGTGCGCGCAGGGGGGCGCGCCACTCAACCAATCATCCTGGGTCTTGCCCAGCCTTGAACCCAGCCGTTCGAAAAGAAACGACGCAAAAAGACGAAGAAGCGAGAACACTGATGCAATTTTTCCTTTGATCCCGATCTCCCGTAATTGGCCCAACCTTCCCATCTTAGGACCCCTCGTTACCATCGCGCAGAAAATCGCGCGGAACAGGAAGTGGTTCGTCACATATGTGACGCCCAGGGGGTTCCAATCTTAAGCAGGCTCCTGCTTGCTTGTTATTACGACACGTGTCGATCTCTCTAATCGACCGACACGTGGAGCTTTCTATGTTGCCACCAACCGTTCGAAAGAGTGTGGACGTCATCCAGGGTGGCAAACGTCGCTCTCTTCTACAAATTCATCAGAGAGGGCTTTCTTAAATCCAAAGAGGGGATTTTTCGTGCCATCGCCGTGGCATGCGCCAATCAACCGTGCATCAATGACCAACGGGAAGAGGAAAGGGAAGACGATACATGGGGGCATGTCGAGGGGGTGGGTTAGTCGGGAGCGGGGGTAGGAAATTCTTCATTCCCGCCACTGTCTCTGGAAGCTCCTGATATCGGATGATCCGATGAAAGCGAGGGAATCGGGTACCACTATGAGGAAGGGATGCCAGATAGTCGGGGTAGAGGGTGGTGAAAGTTCGGACAAGTGCCGTGTGGAAGTGATCGTGGTTTTCGCATGCGGGGATAGTCCCCGTGACCATGCAGTAAACCTCGATGATGATGTGGCCTCGCCGCGCGGCGCTGAAGAGAAGGGCGTGGAGATAGAAGATAGGGGTGGCACACCGGGTAGAGGGATGGGGATGAATCGTGACAGCAAGACAGGTGGCGTAGAAAAATCGGAAGGTGTTGATTGGAAAGGGATTGTGGGGGAAGGTGATGCGGGTGGTGATCTGGCGGAGGGTGAGGTGGTCAAAGGGACGACGGGATAAGGACCGGGGACGAAGCCCGATGTCCCGCATTGGTACGAGCTCGAACTGATGGATGGGCGGAGGTGGAGGGGGAGGGGGATCGGCTTCGTCGCCGTCGGGCTGGTGCGCTCGAAGTCTCGGTAGCAAGGTCCCCATCCTCCGGCTTGGGTGGCTCCGGATCCTTAGTTGGATCGTTCGAGATTGGCAGATCCGCCGTACTTGCGTAGTCTAGCGGCTGCTTACCGGCCTCGATTTCTTCTCTGCGCCGCGCCGCCACCTCTAGGTCTTCCTCCTGGGCTTTTGTGCGGCCCACCTCCTCCCCCAAGCTTTCCCACTCAGACTCCTCTTGTTCCTCGTTCTCTTCCTCTTCGCTCTGCTCTCCCTCGCTATGCTCGCTGTAACTCCCTTCTTCTGGGGTTTCTTCTTCTTCCTCCTCGTCATTCTCTTCGTCGTTATTTTCCTCGTTCTCTTCTTCGTCCTCCTCTTGCGTTAGCCCTTCTTCCTCGGAGGCCGTTTGAGGCTGAAAGAAGGAGAGGTCGATTATCCTCCGCGGGTCCAGGTATTCTCGTTGCGAAGGCGGGTTGCTGTCACCTCCTTGCTCCTCAAGGCAGGCCGACCACTGTAGGTAAGGCGTCAAAGTTCGTGAAAGGATGTGCGGGACCAGACTTTCGTCACACCGCGAAACGATATCGAGACGGAGATCGTCGACCAGCTGTGCGAGGGGAATCGTGAGTTCCTGTACGATCAGCTGTCGATGGCCGGGCCGCACCGATCCGGATAGAAATCCGAGGAGGTCCCCTTTCACCTCCGTCGTCCAAGCTTGGATGATCAGCAGCTCCACGTATTCGACCCAGGCACGGTGCTCTATGTCCCTCGTCCACGTCAGCTGCACCCCGACCAGACACACCGAAAGATCGACGAAGTGTTTGCACCACAGTTCCCACTGTCTTTGATCGAGGAGGGGAACAGCGAGTGGTTCCAAACGAAAGGAGAGACGGGGACAAAGACTAGATTGCCAGAAGGTAGGGAAGAGAGATGGGAGATCGAAGGTAGAGAGTTGGGAGCGGTTCATTGGGGGTGCTAGGAACGGACGAGCTCAGGAAGCACCACCGCTGACTCGTGCCGAGACGATCGGAGCCCTCTCACGTCGATGTCGTCCGTGGGGACAAGATTGTCACCGCGGCTCGTAAGCCACTGATTCCACTCCGTTGCCAGCTGCTGGCCCCACTCCCTAAGCGACGTCCAGATGACCGTGTGTCGTAGAGGGTTGATCGTGCTAATATCGCCATTGGAGATGACGACGGTAGACACGTGGCTAACTCCCGGTGCTGACAGCTGTCGAACAGTCGACGCCTCTGCCAACACGATCGCTTGACGATGGCCCGTGAATCGGAACTCCGCCGCCACGTACACCCCAGTGGTGCTGAAGAACTGCGCGAGTCGGAGCAGATCTGGACTTAGCCGCGGATGACAAACTTGCCGAATTGCCGAAATGCCGCCACGTCGCGCCAGCATGTGATCGCCAAGAGCTCGCTCAGTGAGAAAACTCATGGCGATGGCGACGGGGACGGGGTATGAGAAGGGGCGAGAGATGCAGGAGAGGATGAGAGCGATAAAGAGTCGTCATCCTCCTCTGTAGCGAAGGAGGAAGCAGACACAACAGGAGATGGAGAGGAAGGGAGAAGACGTAGATAGGACACGTGGCAGACGATTGGTCGAGCCGATCGGCTTCCCGAGACCTCCGGCACGAGGCGCACGGTGTTCACCTCGTTCGGGCCGAGTTCGATCACACGAAACCGCCCGAAGAATCGTGGCGCTATCTTCCCTTGGCGAGCACATTTCCTCACCTGCACCAGGTCCCCTGATTTATTCTGGGGCCGTGGTCTACTCGGCCTCATAGCTACGAACCTGTCGGCCGTGGGCCAACTCGGTCATTTTCTGGCGCTTCCGGGCTAATCGGGGAAGAGACCGTTCCATCAGCTCCATGTGTCACTTGGCTTGTCCCGGACCATGGCTCTTGTGGGCCGTCAGTTCAATGAAGATTCATCGGGGAGGCTCGGTATCGAGACACAAGTTACGCTATTGGTTCGTAATTGGAAGGGGCTAAGGCCCGTCGATTCGTGAGGCGTTCTCCGATGGACCGCCAGGATGTGATCTACGACATCGGGCCAGGGCCTCGGATCCCGTGCAGCGATGTTTCGTCCCAACGCTGTCTTTATCACCCGATTTGCATTTTCTACCAGGCCGTTAGACTGTGACATGTGGGGTGCAGTGTTCCGAATGGCGACGCCATGTACAACCAGATTCCTTAAAACTTCCCCTCTGAATTCCACCCCATTATCGGTCAGGATTTCCTTTGTGTCCTGATGCATCCCTAAAAACCGATTGACGTATCGTGTGATTTCAGCCGCCTGTCGCGTACGACACGGATATGCCTCGATCAATTTCGAGAAATGGTCTACAAATACCAATAGGATTAAATATTCGCAGCTATTAGGTCCAGGGGGCACCACAATATCGGCGGTATCCATGCTAACCCTCTGAAAAGGTCATTTGACTATCGTAATTCGGACGGCAAAATGGGCTGCAGTTTCCTCGTGCGCTGTCTTAACCCAGTCGTACCTCATGAACGGGTGCGGCACTACCAACCAAATCCCACTACCATCCGTCTTTCGTTTTTCTAGCGGCCCTCGTTCCAGCCATAATCCCGAGCCCTTTCATTGGCCCTCCTCCGGTCTTCTTTAATGAAGTCCTGGACGGCTATGTGACACCCGCAGCCTAGGCCGCGGGCATTTCGGCCGCTGCGGCCGAGAATCTCGGCCTTGGCCGCGGCCGATGAGGCCCGGTCCACGGCCTGTTTTTTTAAATATTTTTTTTCCCCCTAAAAATATGTCAAAAACATAATAAAACACATGGGGGTGTAGGGCTTCAAAAACCCTACGCCCCTATATTTTTTTTTTGGAATCCGACTTTGTTTAGGATTTTTTAAAAATAAAAAACTAAAATCGATTTAAACAAAATTAAAAATATATATATAAAGAAAAGCAGGAATTTTTTTTTGTCATTTTTTATCATGATATATATGGTCCCTGAGTACACCTGTATTTTTTTTAGAATTGGATTTTTTTTTTTGCAGGGAAACGAGGTGTTTAAAAAAAAAAAGATGTAAACTTTAAAAATAAATAAACAAAAAACTTGAAAAAAGGGTTTTGATTGATTGATTGATTGATTGATTGATTGATTGATTGATTGATTAATCAAGATTGATTGATTGATTGATTGATTGATTGATTGATTGAGTGAGTGATTGAGTGAGTGAGTGAGTGATTGATTGATTGATTGATTGATTGATTGATTGATTGATTGATTGATTGATTGA